GGCAAATACAATAAAAACACAGACGAGGTGGTTTATTTGACTCAATTTATTTGAAAATGGATGCTCACGAACGTTTTTGACCATAGGTCTTTCTCAAGTGTGAGTGTTAAGTAGTTATTTAAAAAAAAAAATTTTTTAAACATTGTTGGACTGAAATTTTAAACGTTTTAAATTGGTCAACTGATGAATTTTAACATGCCGTTTTATATATATGGGTATATTTTTTTAAGTACAGTTTTATTCTACTGTATTTCAGCCTATTCAATTTTAATGTGGTCAAAATTTTAGAATTATTTTTAAGTCGTTTTCTACGCAGTGTTTAATTCACTAAAGTATTTATTTGTTACCGTTTGTTATTTTATTTTAAATTATATGTTGTGTGTTATACTCTTGTGAACGTACCGTCATCGTGTGCCACTGTTTTAAAAGTGAAGTTTCAAATAAAGATTATTATTATTATTATTATTATTATTATTATTATTATTATTATTATAGAAACAGCTCTGACAACAATAAGAAAGTACTAATAAATATTCATGATTTATTGCCGAATCAGGAAGGCGATACTTTGACTCTATAGCGCCACCAATCGGCACTGCCTCAAACGTCCAGGAAAATAAAAATTGGCGTCCGGCGAGATAACTTGAGAGATGGAAATATTAAAAATATGATACAATGGCTTTAAAAAAAAATCGTCAATGACCGGTGCCTTATTTTTAAATTATATAATAACCTAACTCAGTTAGTTAGAGCTGGAAAATAATAATTAAAACGAGAATTTGGATTTGTATTATGAATTTTGCTAGCCGACGTGGGACCAACTTCAACAAAAAAAATCGTTAAAACAATTTGCAATCACAATTGGATAATTTGACATTGCACCATTACAATTACTAACAGGGGATTTTGGAGTTTTACTCTTATTGAGTAGTGAATTAATAATATTCCATGTCCTTTTATATCACTTTTACTTTGTTGACATTTATTATTAAAATAATCAGATTTGGAACTTCGAATAACCTTAGTTAAGGTATTTCTAAAACTTTTATTCTAATTTTTAGCCGTTAGATTGTTTAATAACCTGGTATATAGTGTGTTTGTGCATAACGGAATTTAATAAACCATTAGTAATCCGTGGTTGTAGTTTTGTATTTTTGTTAGATTTATGCTGAAGAGGAAAGCAATGGTTATATGCATTTTTTAAGGATGCTACAAAATTGTTGTAAGCAGTATTTGGATCATCAGATTGACATTCTCCCAATTATTTTCCTGAATACGATCTATTAACAAATTAGTATTTCGTTGATTTATATTTCTAAAAGGAGAGCGATTGATTTTTTTATTTACTGATATCTTTAGCCAGGATGACACAATCATTTTAAAGAAATGTTTTTCATTGTGGTCCTAGAAAAAAAAAATATAATAATATTATTAATAATGATAATAACAATCATAATAACAATAATAATAACAACAAAATAATAAGGATAAACAAAACACAAAAGAACACATCCAGAGCCAGGCATTAATAATCATAATCATCATTTCGAAACCCTTTTCCTCCCCAATTCCACTTTTTTTTTTCTTTCCTTTTTCATTCTTTTTTTTTCTCCATTTCCTTTTCAGAAATCACGAAAATGGCATACGCGCGCCCCCGCTTTTGAGATGACGCCGCCATCACTACCGTGTACACGCAGGTACCTCGGCGTCATTTTGCTGGGCTCCGGTAGCTTCCACCGAGGATAAGCCTGCGGCTCCCCTACCGTGCACTGCTAAGTTGACGGCGCCACCTCAAATAAGGGGGTGCGGCTTTTCAAAAGCAGAAAAACCTAAAAAGTAATCAGACAAGGCCAGAAATCAATTTAGGGGGGAGTAGTGAGCCTTGTAAGTCTTTTTGAAAGAATAAATTGAAGGTGAGTGGGTGATATTTGAAGGTAATTCATTCCAGATTTTTGCTCCGGCAACCTTAAGACTCGAACTCATTTTATACGAGTTAAATTTAGGTGTAACCACTCGAAGTAAGTTCCCACTACGGGTTGAATGTGTGATGTTAGAAGCTTTATGGGTAAATGAAATATTAAGGACAGGAAGATGATCAGTAACATCACAAAAAAGATTGCCACTTATATTAGAATGTGTAGTCTGGTTAGTGTGAATGTGATCAAAAAGAGAAGTAGGGGATATTACTACTGTTACATCTACTACTGTAACATTACATGTTACTACTGTTACATGTACTACTGTAACATTACATGTTACTACTGTTACATATACTACTGTAAAATTACATGTTACTACTGTTACATGTACTACTGTAACATTACATGTCACTACTGTTACATCTACTACTGTAACATTACATGTTACATGTACTACTGTAACATTACATGTTACTACTGTTACATGTACTACTGTAAAATTACATCTTACTACTGTTACATGTACTACTGTAACATTACTTGTCACTACTGTTACATCTACTACTGTAACATTACATGTTACTACTGTTACATGTACTACTGTAAAATTACACCTTACTACTGTTACATGTACTACTGTAACATTACATGTCACTACTGTTACATCTACTACTGTAACATTACATGTTACTACTGTTACATGTACTACTGTAAAATTACATCTTACTACTGTTACATGTACTACTGTAACATTACATGTTACTACTGTTACATCTACTACTGTAACATTACATGTCACTACTGTTACATCTACTACTGTAACATTACATGTTACTACTGTTACATGTACTACTGTAACATTACATGTTACTACTGTTACAGTTGGTCAGTGTATCAGTGGAAGGAAAGAGTTACTAAATAGACAATTTGCAAAAAATTGGACTTGTATATTAGTAGAG